AATGTTCTTGTCCTATATCTGTGCATACAGGTAAGCTGAATGGTAGCCACCTGTCAGCAGTGCACATGGCTCTAAGTGCGGTGAACCTGGCGGAGTGTGCTGGCTCCTGTCTGCCTGTAGCCAGTCTGGCTGAGGTCTACGTCTCTGCAGCTCTCCGGGTCAAAGCCAGCATGCCCAGGATCCTTCATTTCACCTCCGTAAGTCCCCTCAGTTGCTTATGCACAACCGTCTCGCTCAGCCATTTATATTGTGCAAATGCAATATTTTGTGAGTTAGAAACATAGTTGTTAATGAACCCGGGACTTGATTCTGTCCACTTTCGACTTATTTAAGACGTGAGAGTGAAGAACTTATCTTAACTTTTTACTCTGATAGCGAGTGTTCCTGAGCAGCGCCCGCCAGGCGTGCCTGTCTTCCAGTGGCAGTGTGCCTCCAGCTATGCAGTGGCTGTGTCACCCACTAGGTCACCGCTTCTTCGTGGATGGGGATTGGGCTATTCGCAGCACTCCTAAAGAAAGCATCTACAGCCAGGCTGGCAATACTGGTCAGTGCAGACGAAACGCAGTACCCCAAACCCCTGTGTAGGTAGATGCACATTGAGAGGCAGTAGTATGTTAATGGTCTGTTAATGGTCTTCTTACAGTGGACCCTCTGGCCCAGGTGACTCAGGCATTCAGGGAGCATCTCCTGGAGAAGGCTCTGTACTGTGTGGCCCAGCCTCACGAAGAGAAAAGCCCCCGCCAGGGAGAGGGGTGAGGGAACAAAACACACTTCACAAATAACTGTTTTTGATCATTTGTCTAGCGACAAACGGATTGATTTGAAAATGTCGTTGTGTGTTCATGTGGCGGCAAAGTAACCATTCGCTGGGTGCCTCTCCTCAGGGAGTATGCTGATGCCCTGGAGTACCTCCAGCTGTTGATTAGTGCGTCAGATGCAGCTGGTGCCACCTCCCAGTCCTTTGCTATTGGCTCCAACATGGCCACCGTGACCGGTAAGTCCTTTCTGTCACCAACTCATTTCTTTGTCTGAGAAGAAAGAAACCAACTGCTGTAAAGACACTTTGTCTTGAACATTAGGGAAAACTCGAGGCCCTTTTTTAATGGTAGAACATCAAAAGCATTAAAGCCAATTAATGGCAGCAGTTTCAAAAACAGCTTCTACGTCAAGACATTCAAATGTAGATTTGGGCTCCTTACTTTATTACTAGGTGTCTTTTGAGAGAATTGCCTTCGCCTTTTCCCGCATCATTCAGTCACCTGTGACTCAATGTGAAGCACTGAGATAAAGTTAATTTTTTTATACTTTTGAGATTGGGTGGGGTGATTTCCACCGGGTTGACTTTCACCCTCCCACCACTTCCCTTTTGTCCTCACTGATCACAGATCTGAGCGAAAGGGGTTTAGGTGAAAGGGAGGCATCCACTAGATTGCTTCATCTATCTTCAGCGCTGTCAAATCGGTGATCACCTTGAGAGGAGGGAGGGAGGGAAAGGGAGACTGTGCGGGGATTTTAATAAGAGACTTTTCTTGGCAGAGCCTCAGGTTGCTCACAGTATTAGAAGTGAGTGTGTGTGTGCGTGTGTGTGTGTGTGTGTGTTGCCCAATGTTAAATGGAGTAGTTTTCCCTCATGGGGGAGTCGTCAAAATGGCTGCTTTCTCTCAGCATGTTGCGACTATGCCAGAGGGGAGAAACAGATTGATTCAGAGGTCAAAATACTGACAACAGCTGTGTGCGTGTGTGTGTGTGTGTGTACACTCTCATGCATGTTAAATGTGAAAGTGGGCAGTGGGGGATTCAAATATTTGCTTGTTTGTTTGTTTGTTTGTTTGTTGTTTGTTTGTATGTCTGTGGGTGTCTCGCCTTTGACTGTTGTTCCAACTTCCAGGCTGTGACCCTCACTCCAAGTGGTGGTCCTCCGTCACTGTGGTGATCATCAACTGGCTCCAAGGAGATGACGCCGCGGCCGAGAGACTGTATCCGACTGTCGAGCACCTGCCCCGCAGTCTGCAGACCGCAGAGTAAGTTGGACACACATACACACTGGAACATCTGCAGCCAGACTAAAACTGTGTTTCATAACCTTTTGTCTGCAGAGGACAGACACACATTTCCACTTCTTTAACCTGTGTCCTCTGTGTCTTTTTTTTCGCCCTCGCTCTGTCAGGAGTCTTCTGCCCAAGACGTGTCTGAACACATTCAGGGCTGTGCGAGCTCTGCTGTCCAAGCCAGAAAACTGCCAGCTGAGTCTGAGTTACAGCGACAAGGCCAGCGCCCTGCTCCGAGACAGCCTCAACCTAGGACCACACTGCCACAGCTCCGGTTTAGACAAGGTACACACACACACAGACACACACAGACACACACAGACAGAGGCGAGAACTTGCAGATTTGTGCGCATTAAAGTGAAGTTTTGTGAGAGCGACAGCATCTGCATTCAAAATGTGTTCTAACACATGTGCGTGTATCAAATAGTAAACACAGTAAATTGCCCACACATATTCACTTGAGCACACACACACACACACACACACACACACACACACACACACACTTTACCACAGACTGTGAATCCCCCTGTAGCAGCTCCTCTCTGTGATACTGCGGTGTCCTACCCTCTGGCGTTCAGCAGATGGTGATGCTGCTGGATAGGTAGCCTCACAGTGTGTGCATGTCTACGGCCAGAGCTGTGGTGCATTGTAGTTGCATTGCATGTGTGTCTGAGCCGAGTGCAATGTTCCTGCAGTGCAACACAGAGCTGGGCCACTAACAGCAGAACACACACACACACACACACAGTGGGGATGGAAAGTGCCCTTAGACTTTGAGTAGAGCTCTGTTGTAGTTGGTGCTGGGTAATATCTCTGTGTAATTTGTCTGCTTTTATTCTAATCACTGAATGTTTGTTTTTATTAATGGAAATAATGACCCATATATTTAGTGTGTAACACTATAATGTAATTACCAAGTCAGATTTCACCAAGGAATATTTGAGAATGGCAGCTGAAGTTTGACAAATGAAGTTTTCTCATCTTGTGTATTTCTCTCTCTTTCCCTCTAGGTTGTCCAGTTGCTCTTGTGTGATCTCCTGTTGGTGATGAGAACCAATGTGTGGCGCCTGCAGCAGCAGGGGGCCGGTCCTGCTGGGTCAGGGTCGGTGGGTACCAGCGGCCCGGTGGGGGTCCACCAGGCGTCCCCACCGGAGCTCCAAGGCTTTCAGCAAGACCTCAGTTCCCTACGCAAGCTGGCACATAGCTTCAGGCCTGCGATGCGAAGGGTACGTGCAACAGTATTAATCCCTACGGTTTAGTTGTTTAGCTCATGCAAGTTTTGGGGCTTTCAGTGTTTTGCTGACGTACATTCAATCCTGTTCTCTAATCTTATTGCCTCTCAGTCTAACACACAAACAGACGTCCAGCACAAAGTCATTGACAGACACTCTGGGGATGATTAAAACAAGATGAACACACCTAAGCAGCTCTTGTATTTGTCTGTTTACATTGTCAGGCATTTAAAACCATGACTCAACAAAATGGGACTTACAAATCCCCACTTGGAGGAGATCGACTCACAGGCATCAAGACAGATTCTTTCATGCAGCACATTGCCTGGAAGGGTCAGACACGAGGGCAACACATTAAGGGAAGCACATATCATATAGACATCCATTCTTTTTGTGCACATAATTGCATTGCAGGCAGTCCATGATACAAGTATCTGTTGCAACACAGACAGACAGACACCCCTGAGGCAAGTGTTTAGCAGCGTTGTTCGCAAGGCTTCAAAGTCTCTCTGAGGTGGAGCTGAATGTTATGTATGAGTCATCATCCCTCCTCCTCCTCCTCTACCTCCTCATTACTCTTCCCTCCATCTCTTTCCAGTTGTTCCTTCATGAAGCTACAGCCAGGCTGATGGCGGGAGCCAGTCCCACCCGCACGCATCAGCTCCTGGATCGCTCGCTGCGACGCAGGGCAACGCCCGGAGCCAAGACAGGTGTGTTTGGAGGCACTTATGTTGATTTCATTTGTTTATTTATTTTTTATTTATTTATTTATTCATTATAAGTAATTCTGTCTGCAGGCAGAATGGTTTGATAAGCGTTTTTATAAAAAAAATTTTATAGTGCAAACCATAATTTCCTCAGTTGTGATATTGTCTAGTAATTGTCGTATTTGCTGTTAATGCTTTACCTATTAAACCTAGTGAATGTGGATACATCATTTCTCACTGATGAGATGAGTTCATGCCTTCTGTGTCTGTTGTGTTTTCTCTAGGTATTGTAGGCAGTATGAGAGGCTCTGATACGAGTTAGATTAGCCGGGTATCATCTATAATCCGGTAGCTTTAAAGTAAATTTCCAACTTACTGAGAAACTTCAACTGTGGATTCTGCTTTTCTCCCAGCATCACTTTTTAGATGTAGAAGTTGTAGAGAGCTGAGACACACCGAATGGCTGTAATCAGTAGCTCTAATCAGCTTCTCATTTGTTTTGCCCAATTGTTCTCAACACTTAATCCCATCGGTAATTAAATAAGAAGCCGCTGCAGTCTGATAGGCCGTGTGGCTGGCCGAGGACATCGAAAAGCTCACCCGAAATACCGCACTAATGACATTATTTGTGTGTGCAGAGGAGTGCGAGACGCGGCCCGGCCAGCGGGAGCAGGCAGAGGCCGTGATGTTGGCGTGCCGCTACCTTCCCCCCTCCTTTCTGTCGGCTCCCGGCCAAAGGGTGGGCATGCTGGCGGACGCAGCCCGCACCCTGGAGAAGCTGGGAGACAAGAGGACCCTCCACGACTGCCAGCAAATGATCATCAAGCTGGGCAGCGGCACCACCGTCACCAACAGCTAGATGGAAGGAAGGAAGGTGGGGAGGGGTGCTGAGAGACGTGCATTGACACTGTATATAAAAACATCTCTGAAATACAAAAACACACAGACAAGAAATCCCCACAGAGACACTGCCAGACAGTCTCTGGCTTTCTGGCGTGCAGCTATTGAGCAAATTTATTAAACTATCCAGATTCATATCAAACTGAAAGAATTTTCTTTTTGGACTGCCCCTCATCAGGAAGCACTTGTTGAGTTCACATTCTTGTTGCAATGGATTATCACAAGAATAAAGGAAGTGTACTTAGCGAATCCCCTTGTGAGACTGTGTTGCAGTGCCACAGTTTGACCACAGAGAGGAGCCATCACGTCCTCTTAGTGGACGTTGCAGTGTGACTGATGTGTGTGTGTGTGTGTGTGTGTGTGTGTGAGTGTGTGTGTGAAGCATGACAGAGATACTTGCCCTGCACTTATTCAGTATAGTCCCACCCACGATATTTTCGACATAGATGCACCTTTTTACGGCACGAGTGCTCAGTGGGTTGGAGTGGCGGTCTCCCCTGATTGGCTGCAGAGTGAGGGGGTCTCTTGTTCGTGGGAGGAAAAGGACCGAACTCTGATCGGTCCGACCGTGGGCCTGTTCAGTGTGACGCCGCTCCGCAGGTTGTTCAAATAGTGTTAAAGTATGAATCATGTTTTTACCGGTGATAATCTGAGGAGAGGCGACCCC